AAAAGTTAATATGTTTAAGGATTTCTTTTCCCACTTTGAAATGATTAATTAATGGAAATCTCAAGGTAAGTGAATCTTAATTTTTCAAAGCTTATTTCTGTCTTTGATTTTTATCTATTATGTTTAAATTTGATCTATCCAACTATATACCTACAATTCATTTAAAAATGTATTGTTCTTAAACTTATGTTTTAAAAGGATGCCTGACATGTTTTGATATGTAACAGGATGTGATATACTTTATTTTATTTTACTTAAATTAAAAGAGAAAGGTTATTAAGTGTTTGTAATTAATACAATTTACAGGTTATACAATGTAATTTTTACATTGCACAGGACTAGAAGATTTGGACTGTCTTTCCTGTATTTATATATTCTTCACTTTGTCCATTAGATCCAGTTCAGTTGCATAGCTTGGTTTCTGCATGACGTTAATGTTTTATAGAGAAGCAGTAGCTCATGCATTTATATACTTTAGCCTTTACTCAGTTTTATTGTCAAGCCTGCTGTGAAAATTGCAGATTACTGCAAAAGCTTCTTGTGTTAAATATAGCTTCTTGTGCCACAGACACTTCACCTACAGTATATGTACAGTATATGTAGTATGTGTAATTATACATTTTCTGTCAGTTAAGGATCCTTACAAGCTTGAAGTTAATTAACTGTTGAGCTCTAATTAGATATTGCATAAGGTGTGAAACAAGATGCTACAATTATAAGAAGCTTACAGGGATTCAATCTTAGGACAACTGTAAAAAATCTCTGTGTGTATTACTTATCAAGGTAAGCAAAGGTTTGTATAAATGCAGTACATGTGTTGCAAAAAAGGAATGCTTGTACAGTACACCTGCTCGGTGGTGATGCTTTATTCCAACACAATAATTGCTTCAGGAGGTTGACATAACAAGAATTGATGCTGTGATGACTTTCTCTGGGCAAGACGTGCTTAAAATGAAAAGGTGATATTTAACTTGAAATGTGAATTAAAAGGATGAAGCACAGTACTTTTCACAATTCTATGGATTTCTATGGATGATAAAATGTCATGTGTAATGTCTCTTTTGAAATGCGTATGTATATATACGGCTGAAAGAATGTATAGATCATTTTGTCCCTTTTAAAAATGGAAAGGACATTAAAATATTTAAAATCCCAGACACGTTAAGAGTATACTGTACATGATTTGCATGCACAGAGTGGATTATTTGCATTAAAAAGACATACAGCAAGAATACTTAATTTACAAATGTTCTTAAAAGTTTTCAGCAATGTAATATGCTTTATTATCTAAAATTTGGTTTGCAGTAATTATGTGTGTTATGACAACCGTGAGTTATGAACGTGGTAGGTGAAGTAGGTCTCTGTGACCTCTGGCCTCCATGCCAGCTTAGTTTTTTGTGTTCTTTCCTGTTCTTATGGCAGCACACTTTACCTGTTGGGTCTAGGATGCCTCTGTGATGCCTCTCAAAACAACCTAAACTGTTTTGTTTCACGCCTCCCTGGCTTGCCAAGTTCCATAGTCTTGTAAAGTAGTCCAATCCTTTATTAACGAGCACTAACTCTCCTTCCTTATAGAATGAATAAGGCTTCACAGCCGAAACATTGTGTTTTCTCTCTTCCCTTTTCAGCATGGGATAAACCAATTACTTGTTCCTAATAATATCATCATCATCATCATCATCATCATCATCATCATAATCATAATTAATGTTAGTACAGTGTTTGTTGTTATAGTTCTGGAACAGTTTTAACAAAATGCAATCACTGTTCTGTGTGGGACTATGGCAATGTGAACAAAGCCTACTGGAAAATATCTGGTCCTGCTTTTGACATTGGTGCCTGCTGATGCAGAGCTCCAAAAATAAGCAGCAATTAGTCAATACAGTCAGTGTCAAAAGATCTACCCAGTTAATTCAAATTAAGTCAAGATAAATTGACTCCAGTTGGCAGTTTTAAAACATTAGTATGCATTGAGCAACTGTGTTTTGTTCTATTTTAACACTTTAATTGTGAAAAGAGATTCCAGGAAACTCATGTTGACGGAACAGCTTGGAGAGAAATTTCTCAAGGTCTAAGTTCAGACGGGAAATTCATTGTTGTTCCAAAGTAAGACACAGAATATTAAATCACACAGTTCTTTTCCCCTTACCAAATATCTATTGCAATACTTTCTGCTGTGTGTTTAAGCATCTCCTCCCCAGCTTCCACCTGCTTCCTTGGCATTAACGTCTAAGAAGGATGAGTGACAGCATATGACTCTCTGCCCAGAGGCAGCCCATGATCAGGCAAGCAAAACTTTGAAAGGTTATTTAGAGAGCCAAAATGTTTTGGATGGGACCTAAGACAAGTAATACTTTATAAAAATATATTGCTTAATGAACACTTTTAAGTGAGTGCTCCTGACTGAACCTAAATTACACTGTGGGTCAGCCTGCTTGGAGGGGCTGTAGAAATGTGATTAATTTGACCAGAATTCATTCCACCCACCATCCCCACCCCCTGCTAAAGAAAAACCTGTCTTCAGACTGCAGAACTGACTCCACTGGGATTGCCTCTATTTCAGGTTAGCAGGTATTGAGCTGAGGGTAAAACCCATACAAAAGGAACTCATTGAAAATAGGGGAGTTTTATTTATTCAGTTGCCACTTGTGATGAATCTGCTGTTCTCTGCCTTTGTGTCTTAGATGGCCTTCAACCTTTGGTCATCCAGACTGCAAAACACACTACAACTATACCCAAAGAACCAGCTTTCCTTAGTAGCTTTAAGCAGCATTCACAAGTAGCTGTCATTGACAGATTAGTTGTAGATTTGAAAAGGACTTTTTTGTTCATACAATCTGTTATTCCCCTTGAATATGAATTAAGGTGCATTCAGTCCCAAAGAAATACAGATTCAGGCAGCTTTACTGTTTGATCTGATATCAATTATGTTTAATTTTATATGGCCTCATCATAACAAGAGCAATATGTATCTATGCAGTAAAATTGTACTTAATTAATGATTAATGGTAAGGAAGTAAATCACCTTTTGTTCAGATTCCTTCTTCAAACAATAAAATTTATTACGCTTTTCTTTGTTTACTATATTAATATATGTTATATATTAGCTAAAGCTAAAGAAAAATGAATGATTTTGAAATATGAAGCATATGATAGGTTCTTTCTAAAAACATAGCTGATATCAACTGACATTCCCATTTAGTACTGAATTAATAACTGCATTGAAGGAATTTCTCCATAACATTTTCATCCTTAAATTCTTTTCTGTCTCTTCTGTAGGTTAGTTTACTGAAAATTGAGCCAAAAGAACATTTGTTTGAAAGGGGAAATACGGAACAAACTCTCAAGAGTCATGGGATGCAATCCCAGGGAAATCCCAGAGGAAATATCTGTTACTACTTACTTTTGGGGATTATTGACTTTGTCAAGCATGGGGCACATTGAGCTACCTATCATGGATAACAAAAAAGAGGATGTGACACTTAATGATATGATGCAGATAACCGCAGAAAACAGGTTTTTCAACTAAAACAAATATTGGCTGAAAAGAATGGTATATATGTTTAGCATAGTGGCACCGTGATTTAGCATAGTTGCCATGCAACACTGGTGCCCTGGGTTCAATTCCAGACCAGGGGTGTTACAGTATCTCTTTAGTTTAAAGTTTCTATGTTCTCCTGGTGTGTTTTTCCTCTGAGTGCTCTGGTTTCCTCCGACTGTCCAAAAGCAATCTGGAAAAACTTGCCCTATGTGTGAATGTGTCTGTGCCTATGTAGGCCTTATGATGAACTGGCATCCTGTTCAGAGTGTGTTGCACTTTGTGTCCTTTGCTTGCCAGCACAGCTGTGGTTCCCCCGTGACCCTGGACTGGAAGAAGAGATCAGAAAACAGATGGAACATGCATGAACAAATACTTTAGCAGCTACAATAGTTAACATACAAGCCTAGATTGTTTCAACTAAAACAGCTTAAAACCTATCGAAAAAAAAATAAAGAGAAGCAAATTATATTATAGTTTTCAATATACAGTGCATCAAACATTACAGGTTGTGTGAGTTGGCTTGCCAGCGCGGTGACATCACCGCCCGTCCCTGAGAATAGCAGGGACCTCAGTCGCCAGGCTGATGAGAGACCTCCCTTTAGCTCAGCTAGCTGGTTCCCTCTTCAGTGATGCCAGAGACCCGGGTTTGAGCCCCCAGCAGTGGAGGGCCGACCTGAGGCGGCAGCGGTGAGGGCGCATACCCACATGTACCACGTGGATCTATTACCATAACAAATT